CTATCTTGGAATAAGCACAGCCAGAATGTCCCCTTAGATGGTGAGACTTTGTCACTCATACTTTGGACATGTTATCAGGAGGGATTAAAGGATCAACAAAAAAGAGGGAGACACTCAAGATGGATTGACAAGGCAGCTGCCACAATAGGCTCAAATAGAACAATAATTGTGAGGATGGTACAGGAACTAGTGTTTCGTTCTGTTGTTCATACAGTCACTATGCATTGGAATTTACCTGATGACAACTAAAACCAACAACAAATTGTGAGAGACTAGATTTCTGTTTGTTAAAGGCATTCCCATGTGCTCTTTCTGTTATTAGCAGCACCAGGGAACTAAGACATCATCTGTAATAGTTACAGTTTTGTGTCAACTTGCCTGGGCCAAGATTCTCAGTGGTTTCACAGTTAAGATGCAGGCATCTCCCACGATGACCTAACATAATGTAATCACTTCCACCATGAGATATGCTCTGTGGTACCAATCCATTGAAAAGAAGTTTCCTTGTGGGTGTGGCCTGCAATACCTCTGATCTTACAAAAGCCAAAAAGTAAAGATAAATGAGCAGAGAAGGAGAGACATACTAGCACCAAAGAAGAAGAGTTGGGAGCGGAGTTTATTCATTGGGTCTGGGATCTCTGTACTGTGAAGCTCCTAGATTCCAAGGAAGATTGATGCCAAGGCACATGGAGAGCTCCAAGAAATGTGGGTCTTAACAGAAGCTGAAAAGAGACAAGGACTTTTCTCTAGAGACACCAAAGAGAGAAAAACTTACTCTAAAGCCAGAACTCTGGCTTTGGACTAAACTGTGAGAAAATAGATTGCTGTTTGTTGAGGGCCTCCACTTGTCCTATTTCTGTTATAGCTGCTCTAGAGAACAAAGAGATCATCCTTTATCCTTCTGAGTGGATCTGATACCAAACATGGAAGTTTCTGAATTTGAGCACTGTGCCAGACTGCAAAGACATTTGAACTGCAAGGTCAGAGGTTCAGGATCACCAGCTGTTCATTGGACACCCTATACAGGGTCGCTATGGGTTGGAGCCTACTCTGTAGCACTTAACAACAAGAGCCTAAGAAAACTGCTGAGGTACTGCAGTACTATTTGCTTAGCTCTTTTTCTGGTAGTAGTGGACGCTCTACAGGGGCTACGGATAGTCAAAAGATACCCACTTGTTTGGAATGTTTTTCTGTTTCCAAAAATGTGTTTACCATAGCCTTTACAGTTTGATTGACAGATAATCCATTTCCATAATATGTCACCAAGACATGTATCTCAAATCAATGCTTTTCTTCAAAATCCCAAAGTGTGTTACGTCATCCAAGCACATAATCCCCATTCTAACTCCACCAATTTGCAATTTGTAACTGACAGAGGTCCAAAATCAAAAGACAGATTTTAAAAACTGGCCCCAAATACCAAAATTATCAATGCAGAATTGGCTGTGTTAAACTTATCTACCTAGAGGGTCCAAACAGATGCTAAATGTGCTCCTTTAAATATAAAACTTCCATATCATCTCATCACATAATGGTGTGAGTTACTGTCATCTTTTAAAGCAAGGATATGTTAAAAATCAACCAAACTACTCTTGCCAAAACACATCTTTTCACTTCTCTCTAAAGAAGCATCATCTAAAGAAAGAATTCAAATTTCTAGCACTGCAATGAAAGGTATGAGGAACATCATAATATTTGGTAGAAAGACTGAACTCAAAAGCAACAAAAAAACCAATGAAAACATTGCTTGTCATAAGCAAATGGATAAATGCCTCCTTTTCTGAGATAGAAGATCATATGATCACATGAAAATACAAGGCAAGCCACAAGAGACCACAAACAGGGAGTACAGTGTTAATGCTCAAAGCAGAGTGGACTAGGTAGGAACTTCTCACCCACCCAAACCTTTGCCCCTCACTACCCAGTTATACTAGACTTCACGGAGAAAATTCTATTCCCTATGCACAAGGGAACACAAGAAAAATCTAGAGGTCCAAATGAGACAGTCTGAATTCTGTTGACAAAGCCCACCCCAGTGTTCCCCATGGCTCTCTGGATCAGTGCATGTAGACCTGCCTGTAGCCTTTCTCCCTATGAGGAGAAATTGAGAACAGAAAACCCATCACACTATCCTGAACTACCAACATATCCAATTCCACAATATTTTGCAGACCAATAGTTTTCTCAAGGCATAGTCAAAGTCTGGTAGCCAACAAAATATCTATATCAGAATGACATCTCTTGGTCAAATGACCAGAAATCATGATGGTCTGTAGCATTTCTTAATTTATTACAGTTACAGGCCTTATTCACATCCCTCCCCAACCCTTACTATGAAATCCTGTCCCCTTTACCCAAAAGAAACAACTTAGCAAAAATGTAATTTTAAAATTCCATTACAAGAAAGAATCCTGTTCCCATACATACAATCTAATATACGACAAAATTTCCCTTTGCAAACGTGGGCTGAACGTGCCACAGATATGCCAGAGTAAAAACTAAGTCACTAATGGTCTGGGATGAGCACAACTGTGCACTCACTCCTCATGAAAATATCACTAACTCCACTATTTAAACCTTAAATACATTTTATAAATTATAAATACTGACCACCAAAAAAGTTAACATTAATGTAGAACATGGAACTAGTTTACAATCTAATAGTCCAGAGAAAGTAAGTATATATCTCCTCTACCAATGCCAACAAACAAACCCCAAACAGCCAACCATGAATGCAACAGTGATAGAATCTGGAAGATAGGCAGTTATTCAAATATTAAGCTTCACATTCTGCTTTTCTCCAGTGATACTTCTACTTTACCATTTAGCAAAATGATCAGTGCCTGGAAAGGGTTCTGGATGTATAAATCAGAATAAAAATTTCTCAATTTCCACATCTAAAATGAATCAGATCTTAAACAAGCTCTGAATCGTCTTAACCCCAAATTCCCTTTTTACTAATCCGCTATTTTCTAACACTTGTGGGAGCATCAGGGTACATGAAGGATTATAAATGTAAAAGGTAGCCTGAAGTATAAAACAAAATTAAGTTCACTCATTAAAGGCCATCTTTAAACTCTTACTTTATCCTACAGCAGGGATTTCAATCTCTAATGTTGACATTGGAGTTCTGGTATGGCGCTGCGGGTTAATGCACTAGACTGCAAGGTTGGTTTGAATAGAAAGGTTGGTGATTCAAGCTCACTAGCCGCTCCTTGGAAACCTTATACTATAAGTCATAACAACACTACTGACATTTGGACTGAATAATTATTTTTCTTTGATGTGAGGGGCTGTCTTGTACATTGTAGGATGTTTAGCATTATCCCTTGTCTCTACCCACTAGATAGGTACAGATGTACTATGTGACTCACCAGAATTAGCCACACCCAAACTGGTTCATACCCTGTTCAAAAAGATCAGGCCATCAGTCATACTCTTGAGTGTCACAGCAATGTCAAATTGTTAGGAAATTTTCTATACACTTACTCTTAATTTCTGATTTTCCTCATCACAGACCAGTAACAAACAACTCATAGACTAACCCAGTCTATGAGGCAAGTACAGTTCATTAAGTTTTCTAACTCTTCAGTGACTAGCATAAAGAAGCCAATTTATAATGCTTTTAAAATTTATTATTGTTGTTCAAGAGACAGAAACATAACTATACTAAAAATAAAGGAAGAAAATCTATTTTGGATATTTTAACATAAAATAATGAAAGTGCCTTAAGTCACATCCTATATCCATGACAGAGAGTCCTGGTGTGGCGCTGCAGGATAAGCACTGGACTGCTAACCAAAAGGTCAGTGCGCCAAACCCACTAGTCGCTCCTTGGAAACCTTGTATAGGGTTGCTATGAGTCATAACCAATTCTACAGCACTTAACAACAATATAATCCTGATGTTCCTGTCTCTTAACCCTTGAAAGAAGTCCAGCCTTTCTATCTTTCTCTCTCTTTCTTTCTTAGAATAATTAGATGACTGCAAAGTGAGTGAAAGCAGACTGGTATTAAAAACTTGTTCAACTAACTCTCTCTTTCCCTCCAGAGAACCTTTGAAAAGATAAAAGCTTTAGAAAAAATATAACTTGTTTATATGGATTTATACTTACATTCCAATTAAGCTCTCTTTATAAACTAAGTAAAAGAAGTGATAGCTAAATTTCCAGCCTATGCAGTATTGGTTCTTAGAAATGACTGTGAAAAAGTTGGGTAAGACATTTTGGGGTTTGCCCAAATGATTTGTTTTATAATCACAGAACAGGCTGTTTGTGTGTGTAGGAGTGTCAAATATCAAACCAGACAGGAAGACCACCCAGAACCAAGCTCACAGGCTCTTTTCCCAAGGCTACTTAAAAAGTTTAATTTAACCCTGCAAGTCAGGGTGTTATAATGAGTCTTTCAGTTGGATTCCATCGTTCTCTGTCCATGAATGCATACCAGCCTTTAAAATTATAGTAGTAGAATTAGAAAGTACCTTTTACTGTGTGGCTAGACAGCCCTGAGTGACTTATATCCATGAAGTTTTCTGTTTCATATTTCACCAGAAAAGTAAAAAACATAGAATGTATGAGGAAAGGTTTGATAAATATAAGAAGGACACCAAAATTTTAGCACACTTCTTCAGAGAAACAAGGGTAGAGACAAAGGAGTACAGAAGAAGAAGAATGAGAAAATATGAAACATGCTTAGGGATTTTCTCATCTCTTTTAACCAAAATTTGAGTCCACAGCAGGAAACCCAGGAAACCTCACATTAGTCTTAACTCACTCAGAATTAAGGCGTGGCAGGCAAAGTCCTTAGAGATCAAGGATACCGCACTAATTATTTGAGTCACAAAATCCAACCACAACCATGTAGTCTAACAAAAATGCAAATATTATAGTAACTGTGAAAAAAAGTTCCTCTCAAGACACCACAAAATTAGACAAATGGGTGACTTTCAACCACAGAATGAGCAGTAACAGACTTGAAAACCTCTTCCCCATCAATTGATTGCTATGTAAGTGTCTCTTGATCCGAGAAGCTGGGTTGAATTTGTGGTTTGTCATCAGAATCATCTCCGGCAATGTCATTTTCCTCACCAGACTCCACATAGATAGGCCAGTCATTCTCTGTGTCACTCTTTTCTTGACTTTCGGAGGATGCCTCCACCAGGCTGAGGTTGATGGGCATCGAGTCGTCATCATCGTCATGCGTATCTGTAACGCAGGTGCAGCTATCACACAGCCCAAAGCGCCGTAGCCCCTGTGACAGGTGGCTTGTGAAGGTTCTTCTACAACCCTTGCAGATGATGGGGCGGTTAGATCTGTGGACCTAGAATCACAAGGAGACAAGTAAATGTCACAGAAAAGGGGCTCATGGGATCTCCCCATTGCTCTTTCTGCCACCTACTCACCTAACCAAGACCCTTTCCATCCATGGTCATTGGATTTACATAGAACACCCCTCACTAAGGCTTTCAGGGGAGTCCTGGTGGGGCACTGTGGGCTAATGCATCAGACTGCAAAGTCATGTGAACTGCAAGGTTGGTGGTTCTAACTCACCAGCTGCTCCTTGGAAACCCTACACAGGGTTGCTATGGGTTGGAATTGACTTGATGGCACTTAACAACAACAAGGCTTTCAGGACTCCTGATAGCTTGTAAGAGAAGCACTGGACTGTGAACCACAAAGTTGGCAGCTCACATCCACCAGCTGCTCCTCAGAAACCCTACACAGGAGCACTATGAATCAGAACTGACTAGAAGGCACTTAACAACAGTATATACATATACATGTATGGATTCCTGGTGTTGCACTGTAGGATAATCACTGGACTGTGAACCACAAGGTTGGCTGTTGAAACCCACCAGATGCTCCTCAGAAACCCTATAGAGGGTCGTTGTGAGTCAGAAGTGACTTGATGGTACTTAACACTAAAGGCCTTTCAAGGAAGTCTTCCCTGAAGCTCAGTCAGGTGAGGTCCCCCAGCATACTTCTTCCTCTGTTGTGTTTCTCACTAATCATCTGTATAATTCACTCATCAGTAATTCTAAAAGGCAGGGACATGTCTGTCTCATGCAGGCACTGTATCTCCACTGCCTGGTGTATGGTGATTCAATGAGAGAATTCTTGTCTTCAAAGTGAGAGACTTGAGTTTGATTCCTGGCCTCATGCCTCATGCACAGCTACCACTTGTCTGTCAGTGGAGGCTATGTGTTGTTGCTATGATGCTAACCAGGTTTCAGAGGAACTTCCTTTAGTTATTTAGTGCTCCTATAACAGAAATACCACATGTAAGTGGCTTTGATGAACAGTAATCTATTTCCTTACAGCTTAGAAGGGCAGAAGTCTGAATTCAGGGGGCTGGTTCTAGGGGCAGGCTCTCTCTCTCTCTCTCTCTCTCTCTTTCTCTCTCCTCTTTTTAGCTTCTAGTCCTGGGTTCTTGTACCTTTCCACTCTGTTTGTGTTTCTTCGCTTGCTTGCTTAATTTGCTCTTGTCTATCTCATAAGAGATTGACTTAAAACACACTCTGTCCTAATACTGGAGTCCTGGTGTGGTGCTGTAGGATGAGCACTAGACCGCAAGGTAGGTTTGAACCACAAGGCCAGTGGTTCAAGCTCACCAGCCATTCCTCAAAAACCCTCCTACAGGGTCACTATGAGTTGGAACCGACTCAAAGGCACTTAAAAGAACAACATACTAATAATACCTCACTAACACAGAAAAAGTCCATTCTCAAATAAACTGTAATCACGAATATAGGGGTTAGTATTTACAACTTCTATTTTGTTGTTGTTAAGTGCTGTCGAGTCAGTTCTGACTCATAGCATCCTGTACAGAGTTTCTGAAGAGCAGCTGGTGGGTTTGAACTGCCAACCTTGTGGTTTGTAGTCCAGTGCGGATTCTACAGTGTACATCAGATGTCCTATTTTGTAGAAGGACACAATTCCAACCCTCCTGACACAGACTGAGATGAACTAGAAAGGAAATCCTGGTGATCTACTTCCAAAAATCACACCAATGGAAAACAAAATCCTATGGAGCACAATAGTGTGATTTGCAAGCAATAATGAGGATGGGGCAGAACCGGACAGCATTTGTCCATTGTGCCTGGGGTTGCCATGAGTCAGGGCCGACGTGGCAGCAGCTAACAACAGAGCCCAGAATATAATGAACATTCAGAGAACTGATTAGGAGTGTAGGCATGGATTCTTATGTACCTTAGATTGTTGAGGTGTTTGGGGTTTTAGTTTTTTTCCAAGCAGATTTGCTAGAGTAGACAGTTAATTCACCAATCCTGCTAGCAGATGCTTTGTCCTTAGCTTCCTCACAAACAAATTTATTCCTTACCAGTGCATACTGGAAAAGTGAACCTGATTCCCTATTTCATGCTGCCCTCACAGTAACAAAAGGTCCCCTCTGCAGTAGGAGCTGCCCCTTTAATTCGTGTGCACTTCAGAAATCCAGCCAATAAGGGCTCTCATGCACGTGACTCAGTGAATCAGTCAGAACCTTTCTTGAGAGAGCTCTGGATACAGAATACATACCAGATGAAGAGACAAGGAACAGATGACTCGGGAGAAGGGTCAACAACAGGATACCCATGAAATCCTGGCCATATCTCTACTTTTTATTAAGTTTCCTGGGCTTCTGCCAAACCCCAACACTTGAGCTAGCTAGAGAGAACATTTGCCCTTGAAACTTAATGGAGGCTTTGAAAACACCTCACTGGGCTGTAGCAAACTGGACCTTATATGATGTGCAAAAACAGAGGAAATTAGAATCCCAACCAATGAAGCATCTGTATTCAGGAACTATTACTTGACACCACCACTTGTCTGTCAGTTTGTCACAATGTGGTGGCTTGCATATTGCTCTAATGGTTGCTGGAAGTTATGCTACCAGTATTTTGAATGCTAGCAGGGTCACCCATAGTGGACAGGTTTCAGCTGAGCTTCTAGGTTAAGACAGACTAGGAAAAAGGAGAGGCAGACTGTTTCCGAATGTTTAGCCACTGAAAACCTTCTGAATAGCAGTGGAACATGTAAACCAGCACCAGAATATTGACTATTGAAACATGATGAAGAGCACCAAGATCTAGTGTCAGAAAATGAGCATCTCAGGTTGGAAGGCACTAAAAATCAGACTGGAGAAGAGCTGCCTCCTCAAAGTGGAGTTGACTGTGATGATATGAATGGAGTAAAGCCTTCGAAACCTTCACTTGCTGATGAGGCACATCTCAAAATAAGGAGCAACAGCTGTAAACATCCATTAATAATTGGAACATGGAATGTACGAAGTATGAATCTAGGAAAATTGTGAGTTGTCAAAAATAAATGGAATGCATTAACATCGATATCCCACACACGAATGAACTGAAACTGACTGGTATTGGCCATACTGAATCTGGACAATCACATGATTTACTATGCCGGGAATGACAAATTGAAGAGGAATGGCATTGCATTCAACATCAAAAAGAATATTTCAAGTTCTATCTTGAATGGAACATGGAAACACCAATCTCCACAACTCGGAGACTAGAAGAGCTAGATGGTGCATGATTATCACTACCAGCTGCCCTGATAGGGATCACATTAGAGGGTCCTGGATAGAGTGGCAGAAAAAGTGGAACAAAACTCTAAATTAGTTAATAAGTAAAATAAAAAAGAAGACTGGGTTTACTGGTTAGAAAGAGACTGGAAGAACCTAAGACTATATGGCTCTGGACCACCCTTTAGATCTGGAATGGAACTCATGGCCCAATTTTCACCCAAGCAAGAGATGCTCACCTTAGAACAGTCAATCATTCAAAATCAAAAGGGTAACATTTTCCTAAGGACAAAGTTCAGAAGGGATAGGAATGTGGGTGGAATGCAAATAGGGACCACAGGGAGAAAGCAGGTTAACTGTTGTTGCATGGAGGATCGTTGAGATGAAACAACTGTATGATTTGTTGAATGTAAAGCTGATGATGCTATATTGTCTGTAAACCTTCACTCAATTCACAATAAAAAGTTAAATAAAATAAAATTAGCTTTTAAAATTCTCAAAAAAGACCTATCTTGAAGTTTAATGCAATCTGTGACAGGATAATATCCATACACCTAAAAGGAAAACCAGTTAATGCCACTATTATTTAAATTTACACAGCAATCACTAAAGTCCATCATGATGAAATTGAAGACTTCTACCAACTTCTTCAGTCTGAAACTGATCAAACATGCAACCAATATGTATTGATAATTACCAGTGATTAGAATGCAAAGGTTGGAAGCAAAGATTTTTAGGAAGGATCAATAGTTGGAAAATATGGTCTTGGTGGTAGAAACAATGCTGGATATCACATGATAGCATTTTGCAAACCAATGACTTCTTCATTGCAAATACCTTTCCCAAACAACATAAAAGGTAATTTATGTATATGGATTTCACCAGATGGTCATACACAGAAATTGACTACACCTGTGGAAATAGACAGTGGAAAAGCCAGGGGCAGATTAGCACAGACCATCAATTGCTCATGCAAGTTTCAGGCTGAAGCTAAAGAAAATTAAAACAAGTTCACAAAAGCCAAAATATGCACTTGAACATATCCCACCTGAATTTAGAGACCATCTGAAGAACAGATTTGACACATTAGATACTAATGACCCAAACCCAGAAGAGTTGTGGGATGACATCAAGAACATCATACAGGAAGAAAGCAAAAAAGTAATTAAGAAGACAAAGAACAAAGAAAAGACCAAAATGGCTGATGACCGGGGGTGGGGGGTGGAGAGCAGGCTTGTAGGGTATACTCTTTGGTTGGTTGATGATGCATGGAGGGGATTGTAACCATGGCAATGAAACAATATGTGAATGTAAAACTAATGTTCTCTCATGTAAACTATCACATAATTCACAATAAAACATAAAAAAACAAGAAAAGACCAAAATGAATGTCAGAAAAGACTCTGAAACATGCTCTCCAGCATAGAATTGCTAAAGCCAATGGAAGAAATGAATAGGTAAAAGAACTGAGCAGTAAAATTCAAAGGGTAGCTTGAGAAGACAAAGTCAAATATTACAATGAAATATTACAAAGATCTGGAGTTAAAAAACCTATAGGGAAGAACACACTCAGCATTTCTCAAGATGAAAGAACTGAGGGGAAAAAATTAGGCAAATCTGCTGCACAAGACCTCTTTAAAGTGTTCAAGAGCACTGATGTCAGTATGAGGACTAAAGTACACCTGACCCAAACCATGATATTTTCAATAGCTTTATATGCATGTGAAAGTTGGACAATGAATAAAAATGACAGTAGAAGAATTGATGCATTTGAGTTA